CCCCGAATCATCAGCCTCAGTCCTGGGATTTGTGGCCACAGCACCATACATTTCTGACTGATAAGAGCTCCCCGCCTCCTTGCTGTTGAGAAACCACAGAGCAACTTCTGGTAGTTTGACTGAAGTCTCCTAACCTCAGTTTACTCCTCTGTGATATGGGGCAGAGGGAAACAATAACAGTGAGTAATCACGGCTAAGTTATTGAGCACTAACTATGTACCAGGCTCTGTGCTAAGAATACCCGAGGTGGGTATTATTCCTCCTCCATTTTACAGATTCAGAGACTGAGGCGCAGAGAGGGTGAGCAACCTGCACCGGGTCACACAGGAGGAAGAGACAGAGCCGGCTCCTAGCCCGTGCTCCTAAGCTGTACATCATCTCCCATCAGCTCACTCGAGTGTGGGGAGCACGAGCTGATGTCTTGTGTGCTCAGAGCCTGGCACACCGTAGCTGCTCAGCACCAAGTCTCTCTGCCTTCCAGTGGCTGTGAGATCTCCCGGCTCCCAGAAACCCAGAGCCCAGCCCGCGACTCACTTTGGCGACACTTTTCTCCAGGGAGAGCGGCTCGGCTTCCTGCAGGGCGGCACAGAGGGTGTTCACGGTGCTGTCGATGTGCTTCTGACAGTCTTCAGAGGGCCTCAGCGAGTCCCGGATGAGCCCGTCCAGTTTATGAGCAGGCACTGTGTACAGGTGGGACTCCCAGTTTCCCATGGCTCCTGCTGGCTGCTGGGCTGACAGCTAATGGCTGAGCAGGAAGAAGAGAAAGAGAAACTCCTGTGCTGAGAGCCAGGAAACTGAAACTCACCCAGCTCTCCATCTCCTTGGTTTCGAGTTTGCCCTCGCAGCTGGGGTTAGCCTCTCAGCGGTTCCCAGAAGCCTTCTGAGTCAACTCGCAGCCTCTGGAGCCCGATGGTGGGGGCTCGATACACACCAGACCTGTGTGCTGGAGCACATTGCCTGCCCTTTTTGTGCCTCAATTTCCCCACCTGTTAAATAGGGGATAACAATGGTACCTCTCTCGTAGGATTAATGTGAGGATTACGTAACACCTGCAGAGCGCTTAGAATGGGCGAATGCTTTGTGTTTGTTAAGTAATTAACATTTTACAAGGGGCGAAGTTTGTTCTCGGAGGTTCTTTCCCTTTTCCCCTGTCCTCAGTGGCCTGGAAACTCAGAGTCAATGAGAGCAGCGAGGAGAAAGAGGCCCAGAGAGGGAAGTGACTTGCTCAGGGACGCGCAGCAAGGCAAGGGCTGAGCTACACTCAGGTTTCAGTTCTGCCACTGGGCGAATAGGTCCCGGAGGGGTCAGTGCAGGGGAGCTTCTGTGTGCCCAGTTCCTCAGCACACGTGTGGACACCTGCAGGGCCTCATCAGGTGCTTCCCCACCCTCCCACCCCCCAGCAAGGATGGAAAATAGGCCCAGGAGAGCACAGGCTGGAGGGAGACAGATGTGCAACGCTATGAAAATGAAACTCACAGAGGGCTCCCAGGGGCTGCCTCTGTCTAGCGGTAATAAGAAATACAGACGGCAGAGATCCCTAAGGTGTGGGAAGAAGGGTCCTTCTCTGCTGTGATGATTAATTTTGTGGGTCAACTTGGCTGGGCCACGGTACCTGGAAATTTGCTCATTGTTCTAGATCTTTCTGGGAACTTTTTTTTTTTTTTTTTTTGTGAGGAAGATCAGCCCTGAGCTAACATCCGATGCCAATCCTCCTCTTTTTGCCGAGGAAGACTGGCCCTGGGCTAACATCCATGCCCATCTTCCTCCACTTTATACGGGACACCACCACAGCATGGCTTGACAAGCGGTGCGTTGGTGTGCGCCCAGGATCCGAACCTGTGAACCCCAGGCCGCTGAAGCGGAGCGCACGCACTTAACCGCTGTGCCACCAGGCTGGCCCTGGAAGGTATTTTTTAAAGAAGAGATTAACATTTAAATCAGTAGACTTTAAGTAAAACAGATTACCTTCCATAATATGGGTGGGCCTTATCTAGTTGTTACCTGGCCCACCGACGCCATAAACCAGTAACCGCAGCCCTGCTCGGACAAGCCTGACATGTTCTCTTTAGCTTCCAGGAAACCATCAAGAGAGGAAGGAGGAGGCGGCTGAGACATACAGTCAAAACCAGTTAAAACCAGTTGAAGGCAACATGGCAGTCTGACTTGACCTGACATAGACCCCACGGCTCATTGTACACTCGTTGTAATCTGTTACCCTGCTACGTAACACACCCAGCAGCGCCATGACTGTTTCCAATTGCCATGGCAATGGCAGTATATGACCAAATAAGGAAAGAAAAGAGGTGGCATCCTTGATTCCCAGAAAACTCTGCCCATTTCTCTGAAAACTATGAATTTTTCTCCCCGTCATTACCTGGACCCCTTATAACAGCTGCCTATGTGCCCGGTGAGCTGAGAAGTTGATTTGTGAACCCAGCTGCCACTTCTCCGTTCTTTGGCCATTGAATAAAAGCTTGTGACATTGACTGTTCAGCTTTGGTTTCATTTCAAATCCGCGACTCCGAACAGAAAAGAACCCTCCGGGGAGGGGATGGATTGTGGGTATGAGGCCCACCCATGGGGCCCTCCTTGGAGCTCCTCTGAATGTGGCTTGGAGTCCCACGGGAGTGAGGTCAATTTGGTAACACAGTCAGTTGAAGGCATTAATAGAAAAAAGACTGACTTCCCCCAACAAAGAGGGAACTCCGCCAGCAGACAGCCTTCAGACTCGAGCTGCAACATCACCTCTTCCCTGGGTCTCCAGCTTGCCAGCCTACCCCGCAGAATTTGGACTTGCCAGACTCCACAATCGTGTGAGTCAACTTCTTAAAATAAATCTCTCTCTCTTTCAATCTAGTTACATTCTATTGGCTCTGTTTCTCTGGAGAATTTTGACTACTACACCTGCCCATTATGGGTCCTTCCTTGCCCTTATCTGCGTTTTACCACAAAACCTAGAGGTAGGCTGGGCCGGGGGTCATAAGCCTCCTTTTCTAGATGAAAACATGGAGGCTCAGAGAGGTGGGAAGATTTGCTCAAGGTCACACAGCTAGTAAGTTGTCTGGCTAGGTTCTAACTCAACACTGCCTGATTCCAAAGCCCGTGCTTTATTTATTATTATTTTTTAAACACTTTATTTAGAAATAATTTGAAACACTGAGAAAATTTGCAAGATGAATACAAAGAAGTTGTATTCATTGTATCCTTGTATCCATTTCACCACCTTTGTGCCTCATTCTCCCTATAGGTACTTCTTATCAGTTTTATTATTACTGAGTTCCCATATACTCCCTGCCCCCACAGTGCACAGCCTCCTTCATTATCAGCATTGCCCACCAGAGGATACATTTGTTACAACTGATGAGCCTACATGGTCAAACCATAATCATCCATACCCCATACTCTTAAATACTTCAATATGTATCCCCTAACAACATGGGTATCTTGTTCCATAAACACAGAGCAATGATCTGATTCAGAATTGTAACATTGATACAATGTTCTCATTTCTCATAGCATATATAATGAATATATTCTTATATTCAAATTTTACCAGTTGTTCTAATGGTGTTCTTTACAGCATCCTCCCTCTCCCCAATCTAGGATCATATGTTACATTTAGCTGTCATATGTCACAGATGGGTTTCCTGGGAGGCCACTGGGAAAGGGATGGTGACTTTTTCGGAGGAAGTTCCCTGTGTCCTAATTGTCCATCCTTGAAGTATTTTGATGTGCAGATTGAGTAGTTCCCTGGCTTGTGGCCCATCTAGTCTGCCCCTAGGGACACTATATTGTATGACCAGCTCCTTAACTCTCTGTGAGTCAGACCTTCCTGGCTGCCCCTCCACCCCACCACTCATTAGGAGAATTGTGTCCATCTGAGGGTAAGCGTTGTCTCGTGGCTGCTATTATTTCAGGGTTCTACCATCCCCAGTGCCGTTAGGGAGCTTGTAACAGCATTTCCTATGGAGGAGGCCGCCTGAGTTTCTTAGTGATGCTGGGTCTTCTCACAGGCCTATTCCTTATGGCCTTGGTAAAGGTGCGTTTTCTGCTTTTCCACGGGAGAGAATTTGGTGACTTTTCTGACCCTATATAGCACACCCATCCCAGCATGCCCTCTTCCCTGATCTTTTAACCCCATCTTTCACCATCCCCATGGCAATACTGGCATTTGATCTCACTCAGCACAGGCTCTCACTTCTCCCATCCTTCTAGGAACTTTGCTGGCAGCAAGTCTGCACCTTCTCCTGGGGTCCTTGCCAGGGTGTGAAGTCCTGAATCCCAGGGCGGGGGGGGACTTCCAAATCAATAAACTCTTCCCCATCCAATTACACTGCAGCCCTTGATCAAGCATCGTTGGTTCCACTCACACACACCCACCCGACTTTTGCTGGTACTCGCTGGCTGGGTCTTATGGCTACTTGGTTTCATTTGTCTCCAGGTATTTTTTGATTTCTCCTTTGATTTCTTCACTGATCCAATAGGTGTTCAGTAGCATGTTGTTTAGTCTCCACATATTTGTGACTTTTCCTGCTTTTTTATTGTAGTCAATTTCTAGTTTCGTACTGTTGTGGTTGGAAAAGATGCTTGATATAATTTCAATCTTCTTGAATTTATTGAGACTCGTTTTGTTTCCCAACATATGTTCTATTCTTGAGAATGTTCCAAGTGCACTTGAGAAGAATGTGTATTCTGCTGTTTTTGGATGAAATGTTCTTTATGTATCTATTAAGTCCATCTGGTCTATTGTTTCATTTAAGGCCAATGTTTCCTTGTTGACTTTCTGTCTGGGTGATCTATCCATTTACGTAAGTGGGGTATTAAAGTCTCCTACTATTATTGTGTTGTTGTCACACCTCTCTTTAGGTCTGTTAATAACTGCTTTATATATTTTCATGCTCCTATGTTAGGTGCATAGATATTAATAAATGTTAAGTCTTCTTGGTGGATTGTCCCATTTATCATTATATAATGTCCATCTTTGTCTCTTATCTTTTTTGGCTTGAAGTCTATTTTGTCTGATATAAGTATGCCTACATCGATTTCTTTTGGTTGCCCTTTGCTTGGAGTATCATCTTTCGTCCCTTCACTCTGAGCCTGTGTTTGTCTTCAGTGCTGAGATGAGTCTCCTTGGAGACAGCGTATTCTTGGGTCTTGTTTTTTAATCCATCCAGCCACTCTGTGTCTTTTGATTGGTGAATTCAATCCACTTGCATTTAGAGTGATTATTGATATATGTTGATATATGAGGGCTTAATATTGCCATTTCATCTTTTGTTTTCTGGTTGTTCTATATTTCTATTGTTTCTTTTTCCTTGTGTTTCCACCTGCCATTTCAGTTTGGTGGTTTTCTGTGATGTGTTTCTCAGTTTCCTCTTTTTTTATGTTTTATGACTCTTTGAATTTTTGTTTTGTGGTTACCATGAGGTTTGTATAAAAGATCTCATAGATGAGATAGTCCTTTATCTGCTGATAGCATCTTATCTCCATTAGCCTATGCACGTTCTGTCCTTCTCCTCTTCCCCTTCTATATTTTTCTTGTCACAAATTATCCCTTTTGGTATTGTGAATTTTTTACCAAATTGAAGTGGTTGTAGTTATTTTTAGTGCTTTCTTTCCTTTTAGCCTTTTTGTTATGATTAAGTGTTTACTAACCTATTCTGACATAGAGTTGCAATTTTCTGATTCTGTCTGTCTATTGATCACCTTGTTCAAAGCTTTGTAAACCTTTGCCTTTTCATTTCAGGTAGGACAGCTCCTTTCAACATTTCTTGTAAGGCAGGTCTAGTGGCG